ACACACACACACACACACACACACACACACATACACACACACACACAAAATGATAATATCTTTCTTCAATGACTAGTCCCTCCTGGAAATATGCCCAAAATATGTGAAAAGGAGGTTTCAAAATCTTTGCCTCCAAGGAACAAGCTGATTTCACCCTCTCCAGGACAGACAAGTTTGTTCTCTTTATGGTAGTCTGTGGTATGTCCAGTACTCTTCCCCAGCACCACAATTCAAAATCACCAATTCTTCTTCTGCCACCTTTAGTCCTAATATACTATAGAGGTAAGGAAATCTGGGTGTATAGACATATATCTTGAACCAGCAGTCAGGAAATTAAAAGATGAATTGCACTGGGAAAATCTGTTGTCTGAGACCTCTCCAGAGTACTGAGAAGCAACAATGTCAGTCTAGAGACTGAGGTGCACCTGGTCCAGGTCTTGGTCTTCACAATTACTTGCTATGCAGGAGGTAACTGGACAATGAGTAAAGATGACAGAAGAATTGATGACTTTGAGTTGTGGTGCTGGAGAAGAGTCTTGAACATACCATGGACTGCCAAGAAAACAAATAGGTCTGTCTTAGAGAGGGTGAAATCAACTTTCTCCTTGGAGGCTAAGATTTTTTTTTTTAGACTCAACAAAATATAAATTTATTAATCTACTACTGCTTTATGAAGTTACATAGATAAATGTATTCAACTGTCCTTCTATACACTTTTAGCTACTGGCTTGTATGTTTTTCTTATTTTTTTTTAATTTTGGTCATTTATTTTTCATTTCAATGAACATCTACAGAGAATTTGGGAGGCTAAGATTTTGAAACTCCATCTCACATACTTTGGACATGTGGTCAGGATGGACCAGTGGGTAGATGTGTCAGAGTCAGTGAGACTGGCTCAGGATAGGGCAGGCTTCACAGCTGTTGTACTTAGGGTCACTAAGAGTCGCAGGCAACTCGACAACGATAACAGACATATATTTGTATACTATGTCAGGTCTAGTTTAAGTGTGGCTTTTTAAAATATAATCAATTTTAGCAAAAATTGCTGATGAACATATACCATTGTGTCATGAGTAGCAATGAATCTAGTGCCAGTTCTGATCATTTTTTATTATTTTTTTTATTCTTTTTAATGAAAGTTTACAGAAACTTGTGATTTCTATTCATTATGGTTGTACTTGCCAGTTATGATCATTAAAGAGTAATACATTTGTCTCTGGGGAGAAACTGTGGCTTCTAGTGGGTTGTTTTTATTTTCTTTTTACTCAATACGTAACAATGATTTATTCAGTTTTTCTCTTCCAAACTCGGCTTCCTTTGAAATGTCCTCCAAGCATTGATTTTAGTATATGGCTCTTTAAAATACACTAGGCTTGAAGGTGGAAAATCTGTATTCTATCTAATCCTAGATCTGTGACCATACTAGGACAGTGTCTTAATCTCTCTAGTATTTAGCATTCTCTGTTATAAAATGAAGAGAATTTTGTTGAATTTTTGTTCATTGTCATCAAGTCAGAACCAACATACAGTGGACCCTCCAATGTGTTTTCAGAGGCTGTAATTGCACAGATTTCTTGTCCTTCTGCCAAAGCGCAGCTGGTGGATTTGAACTATGTGCCTTTAGGTAGTTGTTCAACTCCCTACCCCCTAGGCCTCCAGAGTTTCTTGTTAAATTTGTTGTTGTTATTGTTGGTAACATCAGTTGGAACCCACCCACAACTGACCCTCCAGTGGGTTTCCAGAGGCAGTAAATTGCACAGGAGGAGACTGCCCACCCTTCTCCCGCAGAGTATCTGGTGGATTTAAACCACAAGCCTTTGGCTTTTAGCTCTGTTCATTAGCTCTAGGCCACCAGAACCTATGTTAAATTAGTGGTCCATAAAAGTCTTTGAACTTCTCAGATTTCTTCATTCTCTTCCTCCCCCATGATTCACCTCTCACTAAAAGTACACACATATGAGTAGAATAGAATAAAGAAATAGAAATGAAATGAAAATCTGTTACTCCATTATCATTTTCATGAGTAAGTTTTCCTTCTTTCTTCTAGAAGCTCACGATGGCAATCCACTAACAAACTACTACCAGCTCAGCCAGGACGTCTTGGCCTTGTGTCTGTTCAACAGGAACTACCCTGCCACAAAAATCGCTAAATTCTTCACTCCTGAAAACAAAAACTACTACTTTGGTGGCAAGTTCTCTGTAGGTGAGTCACTGGGTTCAATTTACTAGACACCAAGGACAAAATCACTAGCAGATCTTGGCTTTTTGGGTTTTCAACCACTACATAATTTTATTTATTTTTCTTCTATGCACGTTACCTTCACTCTTCTGAAAAGAGTCATTTCTGTTTTGAGAAGAATGAGTGTTCAGTAGGATTTAAGTGTCTTGCTGCATGTGGGATATTATAGCAAGACTTGGTTCCTGCTCAGTGTTCTTTACTATTTCTTGTTATGTTGATTCTTGAATTTCATTTGCCCACCTGTAAAGACACTAGTGATAATCTTCATGTAAAACATTTTAGAATAGATGGAGAAGAGAATCGTCGATGATTTCATCTTGCTTGGATCCGCAGTCAACACCATCAATTCCAGCAGTCAAGAAATCAGAAGTATTGCACTCAAAAAGGCTGCTGTCAGGGACCACTCCAAAGTATTGAAAAGCAATGATGTAAGCACAAAGCCTAGGATGTGCCTGATTCAACCACGGTCTTTTCGGTCATCTGCTATGCGTCTGAGAGCTGGACAATGAGTAAGATGACAGAAAAAGACTGAAGCCTTTGAGTTGTGGTGTTGGAGAAGATGCTGAGTGTCCCACAAACTGCCAAAAGAACAAACAGATATGTCTTAGTGTGCAGCCAGATTGCTCCTTGGAGGCAAGGATGGTGAAGCTTTATCTCACGTACTGTGGGCATGTTGTTAGGAGAGACTATTCCTTGGAAAAGGACATCATGCTAGGAAAGGTGGGTGGTCCATAAAGGCGAAGACAACCTTCCTTCAATGAGATGGACTTTCGCTGCTGCAATGGGCTCAAGTTTATCAGAAATCATGAGGACGGCACAAGATAGAACATGATTTAGATCTGTTGTTCATAAGGCCGCTGAGTTGAATGTGACTTGACAGCACTTAACAACAACAAGATGATTAGAGAAAAGAAATGTAGTAGTATTTGTTTCTCTATAAAGCTTGCCTTTTCTCTAATTTATTGACACCACTGGGTGGGTGGATTAACTTGAACAGCACAACCTTTCCACTGATAAAGTCTAACATTTTGAGCAACATTTTTAAGAAGATAAGGGTGAGAAACTTTCTGGCGGGTGAGCTTGTTACTGTTTTTGCGAGGTGCTGTCAAGTCAGCTCAACTCATGACGATCATTCGTTCAGCAAAATGAAGCATTGCTCCGTCGTCATAATCTCCACTGGTTCAAGCCCATCGTTGCAACCAGAGTGTAAAGCCATTTGGCTGCAGATCCTCCTCTTCTTCTTTGATGTTCTGACATCACCAAGCTCGATGTCTTTCTCTAGAAGCCGATCCCTCCTAATAACATTCCCTGAGTCTGTGAGATGAAATCTCACCATCCTACCTTCTGGCTATACTTCTTCCAACAAAGTTTTATTTGTTCTCTTCATTGTTTGTGTTACCTTTGATATTCTGCTGCAAAACCACAGTTCAAAGCCCTCAATTCTTCTATTTTCCTCACTCGTTGTCCAACATACATATGAAAATGAAAGCACTAAGAACATGGAAACAGCTCAAGTGTCCAACCACAAACAAATAGACTGAGAAATTATGGTACATTCACACAATGGAATACTATGCAGCACGCAGGAGCAATAACTTTGTAAATTATTACCTAACTTGGAAGGTACTGAAGAGCATTATGCTGAGTGAATTAACTCAGTCACATAAGGATAAATATTGTATAAGACCATTATTGTAGAATGAGTATAAGGATCCAGGAGGGGTGGGAGAGGCTGGAAGCAGAGGGCTGTGGATGTGCAGGGGGAGGAGGGAATTAATCATTAGGTTGTACAATTTGATGGGTCCGGGGGTGAGGGAAATTGAAAATATTTGTTCAAATTTGTATTTGAATTTTGTAAATAAACTATTAGAAAATTTTTTTTTAAAAATAAATGAAAACAATGAGACAATATCTTCCTGTGCCAATCAGATCCAATTTGATGGTACATGATAAGAAAACAAATAACAACAACAAAAAAAAAACAGTGAAAAAAAAATGAAAGCACTATGGTTTGGGTTACGTGCACCTTAGTCTTCAATATTACATCCTTGCTTTCTAACCTGTTAAAGAGATTCTTGGCATCACCTTTCAGTTCGATGGTACACAATAAGAAAACAAACAAACAAAAAATAGTGAAGAAAAAAAATGAAAGCACTATGGTTTGGGTTACATGCACCTTATTCTTCAATATTACATCCTTTCTTTCTAGCCTGTTAAAGAGATTCTTGGCATCACCTTTGCCCAGTGCAAACTGTGGTCTGATTTCTCGAGGGCTGCTTCCATGGGTGTTGATTGTGGGTCCAAATGAAAAGAAACCATTGGCAACATGAATATTTTCCTGGTTTATCATGATGTTGTTTGCAAATTCCTTCTAAAGAAGTTATGTTGGTATTTGCTCCTGTGGATGCAGATCTGTCTGCTTGCCTTTTCCCAAGAAACTCAAAGCAAATCAGCATCCAAAACTTAGACAGTAAAGAGAATATGAGGCTTCTTATACTCCTCCCACCCCATAACAGAGGCAAAGAGTCCCACTTAAAAGCACAGGAAAACCAAGTGTATCCATCCAGGAAAAAGAGCCTCAATCCCCCTTGCTCTCAAATTCTTGCCCCATCCCCCCTTTAAGACTGTTAACTGGAGAGGAGTCTGTTAAACTGGAAAGTAAGAACCTTTGGGAACCTTACAGATGGTATCAGTTTAGTGTATTATCCTGTTGGGGTTTTTTTGTTTTCGTTTGTTTTTTTAATATTCTGTTGGGTTTTGATGTTCTGTTTTGTGTGGCTTGGGGTTTCCCCTCCCCACTTCCTTGAATATATAAGTAAAAGAAAGAAAACATGTGAGCAGCCAAGATATAAAACTGGAAAACTGCCCGTGTGTAAATACCCACACCTTTGTATGTGATCATGGTGTGAGGTTTTAAATAAAAGGTGTCAGGCAGATATGAAAACTCAGCATAGGAAGAACTCGTGAAAGGTTTGTTTGATGATTACTGGAGAAATGATTGTTCTGTCTGGAAATCTTTCCCTCTCATCACCAGCCAACATAATCAATCATTCCAGTTTATCCGGGTCTGTTCCCATTTTAGCACCAAAAGTTCCACATCCTGGGTAAACCTCAGCCCGGAGAAATTAATGCTGTTTGACCACCCATCAATAACTTTTTTTTTCTTTCAAGATACTGGTGCGATGGCTGTCCTGGCTATGACTTGTGTAAAGAGAAGTATAAAAAACCAGCAGATCAAAGCAGATGAAAACACCTCATTGAAAATCAGTAATAATATAGAGTTACTGGTAAAAAAGATTTTGTCTGAAAAAAAAGAAAATGGTCTTCTTGGAAACATATATAGTACAGGAGAAGCAATGCAGGTGAGTCCAAGTGTAAAGCAGAAGGCCAAGAAGGGGTCTCCATCGCTTCGTCTTGGCCTCTCTAGTTTTATCCATTCTCTGTTTCCTGTACTAAGAACTTTCATTGCTTCATAGGTGGTTTTTGCCCCTCTGCTTAAAAATGTACTCTTCTCACCTTCAATTTTTTCCTCTTTATGTCCACTGTTGTGTTTCTATGATGTATTCATGACTATAATATCTTCAAAGTCTATTTTTATTCTACTACAAATTATGTATTGATATGTAAGGTATAATTTCACACTTTGTTAAATACCAGTTTGTGATTTTATTTTTACCTCCTAGTTAGATTATTGCTATAAAAGAAATAAATGACAGTGTTGGTAATAGCATCTAAGAACAGCACAATTCTAAGTATTATACTCCATTAATTCATCAGCAAACACCAACAGCCCAATGATAGTGGCATAATTACTGCTATTTTCTAGAATAAGGGCATGAGTCATAGGAATATCAGAAATGTGTCTGAGATTACAAAGTTGCAAGCAGTACATACATAGATGTGATGAAAAAGAAGTAATTCATTTTGACATTCACACTGTTGGTATCTGCACTGTATTGCATGTATTTCCCAAGATCTGAGATTTTATTCATTGAGTTCTTCAACTTTTGGAGGAATAAATTAAAAGAGAGGAAGATTCACAGAAATAAAATATGTATTTTCACACTAAATCTTTAGTGCACATAGTTGTTTGCCAGACGGAAGCAGATGAGAGGCCCTTCTTGGAGAGGGACTCAAGGACAAAGAAGCATAAAAGACTATTCAGTATCTTAGGAAGATCAAGATGCTTCTCACAGTCAGTGTTAGATGCTCACACAGCCTTTCTAGGCCCCCAGAGCTCCCGTTCCTCAGTCTCCTGAAATGGGGAAGAACCCTTTCTCCTTTATCACTAGATGGTTTTCCTTACGGCATTGATTATACAGAACCTTTACCAATAGTTTACCCATCATCAGATATTTAGTGAGTGGCCCCTGTAATGACCTGTACTAGTCCAGTGCTGGGGATACAAAAAGGAAGATGCCAGAGAGCAGCTGTTCTCACTGGGAATATTGCATTTTGTGTCCATTCCCCACCTCTCTGCACCCAGACTATTTCAGAAACTTATCAAGGGCAGGAAAGTTACTGGTTATCTTTGAAGCCATCATCTCTCCTAAGATGCCTCTTACTGTAGTCAGTGCTCAAGAAATACTTATTGAATCACAATACTGTCTCACAAACAATTCACCTACGTTACAACATGCCCACACATGGAACACATGGAAATGATGTAATGAAGTAAAACAGTCCGGCATTGTGTGCATGTTGGGTCAAAACCTCCATCTGTCTCTCTCACTGCCGTTGAGTTGGAACTGACTCACAGTGGAGCCTCCAGTGGGTTCAAAGGCTATAAATTACACAGAAGGCATTTACTCATGTTTCTTCCAAGGAGCAGCTAGTGAATTTGAACTACCTGTCTTTGGGTTGGCAGTGCAACTCCTTACCTACTAGGCCACCAGAGATCTCTGTTTAAATATCTGTAAGTGTCTATATGTTGTAAGTAAATACAAGTCTATGCAAGTTATAAGTAACTATAGTAACTTAGACATAAGGTCCTTAATTGAGGTTCATTCATATGTTTGTGTGTGTGTGTGTGTGTGTGTGTGTGTGTGTGTGTGTGTTCCCTTTCTCTCATTAGGCCCTCTTTGTCTCATCAAAATATTACAAAGAAAGTGCCTGGAATAGCCAACAGACTCTGGCCACGGTGATGGAGGAAATTTCTCGGGGAGCATTCAATATCCCAATTGCTGCAGCCCAGCTCTTACCTGCCATGATGAGAAAGACCTATTTGGATGTTAACAAAGACTCTCCTTGCGTCTGTGGTTCAGGTACAATAAGCATACAAGGGGAAACGGTCTTGTCTTTTGACATAATCCTCAAAGCACACACGACCGAGCTGTCCTCAGGGTTGGCTTATCAAGAACCACCAGATAAACATTCTAGAGCATTCCAGGTTCCAGTCAGTCCTCAATACGTCATCAAGTGCAATACCAAACCGAGGGTTTGCAAGGGGCCTTCGCGTTCTGGAGATCATGAGGAAGGCTCAGGGTAGGCAAGGGTCCCCCAAGTTGTTCACAGGTTGCTAGGAGTCATAGTTGACTAGACCACTCCTGAACCCTAACATCATCTCCCAGGGGGTACTTTTTGATTGCTTCATCTAGAAAGAGGCTCTGAGCATCATTCCTGTCCCAAAGAAGTAGCACAGAAGATCTCTATTTTGCTTTACTTCCCATCATCCTCAGTGAATGAACTCTCAGGGGCATGGTTAATACGATGGCCATATTCTCAGAAAATTGGAAGGTGGCTTCTTAATTTAAACTACTAATTTTGCAAGCAAGACAGAGATCTTTCCTTTTCTCTCTCTTCAGCCCTACATATTTAATCTCTCCACATCCATTTTCTAAAGTAAAGAGTAAGAATGATTACCTAACCAGTTTGGGGGTTATTATTATTAATAATAATCATTTTAATGAAAATTTACAGATATTTTGGATTTCCATTCATTCATTGTTGTACTTTTCTCCCTGCCCACCCTTCCCCTCCAGTTCGTTCTCCTCTTTGAAAAGTAATAGAAAAATTCTTTCACTGTTATACAATTCTTCCCTCCAAGTCCATTCCACCATGCAGCCTTCCTAACCAGTTTTTTTAAGGCTCGGATGAGAAAATCCACATAAAATGAATAGTACAGTGCCAGGCAGGTAATATATCTTCAGGAAATATTAAAAGCAAATAGAGGGGAAATGGCAAGCACTACTATATTCTATCCCAGTGCAACTAAAGTCAAAAGCTTCTATAAGAAATGAGAGTTCTAAAAAAAAAAACAAGAAAAAAAATTTTTAAAAAAAAATGGGAGTTCTGGTGGAAGAAGGTGGAGGGAACCACGAGGACAACCGAGACGAGTGGGTGGATGAGGGAAGAAACAGACGTGGTGCGATGGGGACTCAATGAGACACGGTGGTAAAAACTACAGGTTCACAGTGTTTCATTATATGTAACACAATGTGTAGAAATGATTGTATAAAACAAAATATGCATGAATGAAATAATGTTTGGAAATGATTGTATAAAAGTGATTGATTGTATAAACCACCATTTTTAAAAGTTATGGAACAAATTAAACCCAAACAAACAAAAAAAAAAAAAAATGGGAGTTGGAGCAACCGAGTGACTTAAATAGCTGCTAGTTGATCTAAGTGATATTTTACAAGCTGCTGAGTCTCTGATTTTAACTCCTGGCTTTAGTCAAATGATGCATCTGCCCCTAAACTAATGGCATTTACTCCTTGTATAAAATTCTGGGCACACCCACAAAAAATAATGAGAAAGAGCAAAGCCTGATGGGCGAATAAAATGCATCATTTTCTCGTATTCTGAACATTGCTCTCTGGTTTTCTGTCTGCTAGATCACAGTGAGCCCAGTCCTGGGTCTGTGTCTGTGACACCTACCAAGTCACACTCCTCTATTGAGGTTTATTACACGGTGAGAATCAACGAGACGTTTTCCACCAATCTCAGCGTGGCAGCGGGGTCTGTCTTCCTAGACGTGATGGAAGCAGCCCAGAAACAAAACAAGACTGTGTTTGGGTGTGTATGTATATCATTCAAGCGGTTCCCTGTGCATTTCTGCAATCTCATTGCTAGGATTAGTTGAGTACAATGTGTATTTAAAGCATATCTTATTTGCTTCCTCAGTCTTTCTCTGCACCTCGTGGCCGTTTTTGAAAGGTGAGATCTCTCCATTCCTAGCGCCCTTCATTGCCTTCCAGTTGACACCGTCTCACGGCAACCCTAGGCGGTAGAACGTAGAATTGCTCCACACGCTTTTCTTGGCTGTCATCTTCGCAGGAACAAGTTCTGTTTCTCTGCAGCACCGCAGTGTGGGCTGGAATCACCAGCCTTTAAATGGAATACAAATTATTGGCACCGCCCAATGACCCAAATATATAAATTGATAAGCCAAATATAAGCCTCAAAAATCAAACCAAACCCATTGTTGTCTAGTCATCTCCGACTCATAGTTACTGAGGGAGCTCTGGTGGCTTAGTGGTAAGAAGCTGCACTGCAATCCCGAAGGCAAGTGGTTCAAATCCACCAGCTGCTCCACAGGAGAAGAGTGGGTGGTCTCTTCCCTTGGGATTTACTGCCTCTGAAAACCCACTGGAGGGAGGGTCAGCTACAACAACAACAGCTATAGAGTCTACTTGAACTCACGGTGACCCTCCACTGGTTCCTGAAGCTGTAAAACTTAATGGGAGTAGATGGCCCATCTTTCTCTCATGATGAGCATCTGTAGAATCTGAACTCCCACCTCTTAACATGTTTTTGTTATCATTCTGGTATTGCCCCCACAATATTTTTATATTAAATTATTTCCTTAATGGAGGTCCCCTTTCAACAAAATTTCCTCTTTTTTTTTCAGAGACAAAGCGTTTTGTTTTTTTTATTATTCTGAGCAATAGGAGCAGACAGAATAAGCTTTGTGTAAAATTTCCAGTTCTTCTGGTGTAAATCAAAGAGGTCCAGGTGATATCTGCACATTATATGGTTGTTGTTGTTGTTGTTGTCTGGCTGTCCAGGCAGAACCAATTCACACCTGAACTTACAGTGAGTTTTCAGAGGAAGTCAGTTACACAGGAGGAGATTGCCCTTCTTTTCCTAAAGAGCAGTTGGTGGATTTGAACTCCTTGCCTTTAGGTTGATAATGCAACTCTTTCCCACTAAGCCACCAGGTTGCTGTTGTTGTTTACCTTCAGGTTAGAACTGACTCATAGCTGGACCTTCAGCATGGTTTCAGAGACAGTAAATCACAGGAGAGTAACCAGTGGATTTGAAATATGCACCTTTGTATCGGTGGCACAGCTCCTTACCACTAAGCCACCATAGCCCTAACATAGTTGTTGCTGCATAGCATGGAGTCACTTCTGCTGGATGGACCCTCAGACATTTTGTGTTTAGAAGAGTGTTTTGTTTTGTTTTTTTTTCTATAATTATATTTTATTAATTTTCATAAACATTTACAGAGATTTTGGGCTTCCACTCATTCATTGTTGCACTATTCTCTCTACCCTCCTCCCAGTTTGTTCTTGTCCAAATGCCACAGTGCTTGTCAAAGCCAGTTCTGATCAATCTTCTTTGTCAGTGTATCCTTTGCCATTCCCTATCACTCCTCCCTGAGAGAGACTTCACCCTGAGTCATAAGGAAAAGGGCACGGCGTATTCTCTTAGCTACTTCCTGCTGAAAAGGGACGCTGTGGGTTTCAGGGTGAAGATCTTCTCTCACTACTCTAAAGGGCCCCTTTGGCAGTAGGAAGCACATAGACTATTATGGAGATTGATTTTGGAATTCAGATGCACTCTTATTGATTGTGCTTGGCTGTACATGTACATATCCTTGAAGATGTATCATGGGGGTGTTGCAACCTAGAAGACACAAATTTGACTAACAAGTTATAAGTACATGAGTCCAAAAATTATGGAAAAGTAAAAGAAAAGATTCTTTCATTGTTTTACAAACCCTCCCCCAGGTCCCCTCCACCATGCAGCCCTCGCTCTAGTCTCCTGTGATGACAGAAATACCCAGTTACATCTCTCTTTTAAACGGTTCTCTCCCTCCTCTGTTTCAGTGCAGTACACATTATTGAACCCATCTTACTCAGTCTCTCCCCAGCCCCAAGGACAGTCCCATTCTACAACAGTGGCATCATGTAATATTTGTCCCTTTGTGACTGGGATATTTCACTCAGCATAATGTTCTCCAGAGTCAACCATTTTGAATAATATTGCATGAGTTCCTTGTTTTTTAATGCAGCATAGTATTCCATTGTGCGAATATGCCACAGCTTCTCTAGCCATTCGTTTGTTGATGGGCACTTAGGTTGTTTCCAACTCCTTGCTATTGTGAACAAAGCTGCAATAAACATGGGTGTGCATATATCTGCTTGGATGTCAGCTATGGTCTCTTCAGGGTATATTCCCAGTAGTGGAATTGCTGGGTCAAATGGTATCTCTATTTGCAACTTTTTGAGAAAGCGCCAAACTGCTTTCCACAGGGGTTGCACCATTTTACACTCCCACCAACAGTGAATCAGGGTTCCAGTTTCTCCACAACCTCGCCAGCATTTGTTGCTTGCTGTTCTGTTAAATTTTGCTATTTTGACTGGGGTGAAATGATATCTCATAGTTGTTTTAATTTGCATCTCTCTTAGGGCTAGGGATTTTGAGCATTTCTTCATGTGTTTGTTAGCCATCTGAATGTCATCTTCGGTGAAGTGCCTGTTCATATCCTGTGCCCATTTTTCTATTGGATTATTTACCTTTATATTGTTGTGGTGCTCAAGTATTTCATAAATTCTGGATATAAGTCCCTTATCTGATATATTATTACCAAATACTTTTTCCCAGTCAGTGGCTTCCCTTTTTACCCTACTTGAGAAGTTTTTGGATGTGCATAGGGATTTGAGTCTTAGAAGGTCCCATTCATCTATGTTATCTTCTCCTGGTTGTAGCTTTTCCAGGATACTGGGAAGACTGTTTATGTTGTGGATTAGGACTTCTAGTGTTGTTCCTAGCTTTTCTGTAATGAATTTTATAGTCCTTGGTTTTAGTCCTAGGTCCATGATCCACCTTGAGTTGGTTTTTGTGTATGGAGTGAGGTGTGGGTCTTGCTTGAGTCTTTTGCAGATATTTTTCCAATTTTGCCAACACCATTTGTTAAAAAGGCTGTCGTTCCCCCACTTCACTGATTTCATCAGAAGAGTGGTTTTTAACTATTTATGAATCACTGATCCTTTGACAATTCAATAGTACAATGGATGTTTATCAACCATTCTAAACTATGAATATACACACACAAAACTTGGCATTGAACTTGAGATCTCACAAGCCATGCACCCCGTTGATCTCTAGATAATTGGTCAAGATCTCCTCTCCTGGCATAGAGAGGTCAATATTGAAACTAAGGTATTGACTTAAATTAAGATGTGTGGTGTCCTAAATCTAACAGATAATTTCTACATTTTATATCTAACAACATGGTATAAGATGGTATAAGAGGAAAAAGTAAGAATTATAAATAATATAAAATTGTTATGAAGGCTATTTTCAAGGGCTTCCAGGAAAGAGAGAGAAATATGACTAGAGAATATGAAATAGACATTGTGTTGTTTTCTGTAAATACAACATAAAATATGAAATTAATCTTTTCTGTTCTCCTTTCCGAAGACAAAAATCATTAAATAAGGTGCCTGTGGGACCTGAGGGTGCCCCTCGAGAGTGTTTTGACATCATCAAATTGTGGGTGTTTTAGCATCTTAGACAGTTATTATCTTGGAGTAAAATACTAGAAGTGTTGACTAGCTATGCAGAAGGTTAGTGAAGAAACCATAGACATTTTTTGCCTAATTTACCATGGAGTGTAGATTGAGTCAGAATCTTCTCATGTTTATGAAAGGGGCAGATTCCTCGCTCTGCAACCCCAACATAGAGAATCAAAATACCTGGAGCACTGCCAGGAAATCTGCATTTATTGCATTCAAGTCATTCTTAGCACACTGAAGCTTGAGAAACACTTGTGTAGGTTCTCCTGTGGAAACTCTGAGTTGCTGTAACCAGTCTACTCTTCCTCACAGCTTCACAATGGAGGAGAGTTCTTGGGGCCCATACATCACCTCTGTGCAGGGTCTAAGGGCCAACTCTAATGACAGAACTTACTGGGAAATTCTGAGTGGAGATACACCACTGACTCAAGGTAAGGAAGAGATTTGAACAAGTGCCCTGAGGTGGACATGCCCACAGCAGTCCGCTGGGGAAGGCTGAGGTTTCACGGGAAATGTGCCGAGAGATTGGGGAGATGATGAGTATCGGTGGTTCAGCACTAGGTGGGTATACGACCAATTATTAAAGCCATTGTGAAACCCTTTTCTTTGCCTTCTTATTTTCCAGGAGTTGGCAGCTATGTTGTCCATGACAGAGAACATCTGGAGATTCGTTGGAGCAAATACTAATAAATACAAACTTTCCTCAGTTGGATCAAATCCATTCGTAGTGGAAATTCACCTCAGTCCTTCCACTACCTTTATCTACAACACAAAGAATATTCAGTAACTTACACTTCTCTTTTTCTTCCTACTCAATAAAAACATTAATAACAGTAAAAAAAAGTTTTCATGTTTTCGAATGAGTTCATTTGTAAAAGGCATTAGTAGAAAAGGAAAGATCACTTTAAGAGAAGTGGAATAAAAAAAGATTAGAGCGTGTGTCCAATAAATTAGATTCTACTTAAAGTTCCCTCCATTAAGTAGCTGCATGACCCTGTTGTTGTTGTAGTTGTTGTTATATGCCATCGAGTCACCTGCGACTCATAGCGACCCTATGTACAAAAGCCCTAAACCCTGCTCTATGCTGTGCCAATCTCACTGTCTCAGACACATCTACTCCCATTACCTCAGTCACTGAATCAATTCATCTCATCAAGGGTCTTCCTCTCCTGCACTGTCCTGCCACCCTCCCAAGCATGATTTTCCTCTCCAAGTACTAGTCCCTACTTGTAACATGTCCAAAGTGTGTCAGACAAAGCTTCAGAATCTTTGCCTCCAAGCAGCATCCTGGTCTGTTCGTTCTCTTAGCAGTCCATGGTAAATACTCTTCTCCAATATCACAGCTCAAAGGCATCAATTCTCCTATCACCCCTAATCATTGGCCTGTATCAGGCACACCTTAGTCTCCAGACTAACATTGTTGATCTTCAGTACTTTGGAGAGGTCTCTGACAGCAGACTTTCCCATCACGGTACATGTTTTCATTTTCTGGCTGCTGGTGCCAAGAGTGTTGATTGTGGAGCCAAGCAAACTAAAGCTGTTAACAATCTCAATCTCTTCACCATCTATCATGATGCCACCAATTAATTGGCCCAATGGTGAGAACCTTTGTTTTCTTGGCCCTAGGCAACTGAAAAAAAGAAAAGAAAGTATCTTAATCCTAACATTGCAACAGCACAAATGAGATCAAGTAGAAAGTTTGTCTCTCTAGAGACAAAGCACATTAAAGTCTGGACACAAGACAGAAACCAAGTGTTTATGCTGAGTTTATACAGTTTGTTGTTCTTGTTCAGTGCTGATGAGTCAAATCCGACTCATAGTGATTCTATGTACAATAGAAGGGAATAATTCCAAATCTTGCTCCATTTTCACAATCACTGTCGTGTTTAAGCTCATCAGAGTCCCTGTGTCAATCCACCTCAGTGAGAGTCTTGCACTTTCTGAGTAACTCTCCTCTTTGCAAAGCATTCCACTCTTTTTTTACCAAGTGTTTCTCCGGGGACTTGCCCCTCTTGAAAACATGCCCAAAGTATGTGAGGCCAAGTCTCCCCATCAACCTTCTAAGGAATATTCTGGTTGCTCTTCTTCTAAGAAAGATGTGTTTGTTCTTTGACAGTCCATGCTCTTTAGTTAAACACTCATATTCAACACCACGGTTAAAAGGAAGGCATCAGTTCCTCTTGGGTCTTCCTTCCTCATGGTCCAACTTTCATTTGCATCCGAAGCTACTGAAAAGACTTTGGCTTGAGATAAGATCTCAGTCCTTAAAATGACACCCCTGCTCTTTAGCACTTTAAAGAACTATTAACAGCAGATTTGTCCAAAGCTATACATTGTTTGATATCTTGATGTTACTTTCTTAGGAACTGAAGGAGGCTCAAAGTCAAATTAAGTCCCTAATAACTTTAAACATAGGATAAAAAAAGAAAATTTCTACTCTGGAAAATTGGGGGGAAATGTGAAATTTATAAACAACAACAACAACAAAAATCCATAAAGATTAGGAAATAATATTATCTTTTCTAATGTATCCCTTATCCTACTTAATATTCTCCAATATCATTTCTTTTTTCTTCATAAAATCACTCTTAAAGAAATGTCAGCAACATCTACGCTTACTGGAGCTAAAGAGACTAGTGGAAACCCCAAATCTATGTCTTTTTTTCACTTATTAAGCCTAGAGCAAAATTTATCCCATGTCTCAATTTTCAGCCAAACAATAAACAGGCTTATACAGTGATCAGAGACAGCAGGGAGGCACTGACTCCTCAGGAGAGCCAACAAGAGACGGCCAAAAGAGAGGCATTTGTCTAGTGATAAAACCAGAGGCAGGAAAGGGAAGGAGAAAAGGATTAATGGGAAAAGAATTACAGGGAAGAAGTGGGGGAAGTCTTTTTGTAAGTATTATTATTAGTTCACTCTGGAACGCGGCTGGCTAACTGGCAGGACAGCTGGCATCTCGATGGCAACTCGATTTGGTGGCAGGCAGGCAAAGGAAGTCTTTGGGGTCCTTTTCGTTGTGTGTAACTGTTCTTCTTGCCCTTCAAAAGTGGGTGGGCAGCCAGAGTGTGTCAAATGCGAGAATGGTTACCCATGGTGGACAGTGTTTGGGGAAGCTCCCTAATTAAAACAAGCTTGGAAGCAAGAGTGGCATCCACTTCTGAAATAGCTTGCTTCCGGGAACCCTATGAACCTGGAGAAAGGATGAAAGTTATACAACTGTCAAGGTCTTTCATTCATAGCGTTGCTATGAGTCGCCTAGGACTCGACGGCACTTCCCAACAACAACATGATGATCATTTTGATGATGATGATGATGATGATGATGATAATGATGATGGAGCTCAGGTGATCTATTGGCGGCAAGATGGCTTCAATCCCAAAGGTACACGGTTCAAACCCACAGCTACAGTATGGAACAAGTATGGGCAATTTCTTTCTATGCAATTTATGGCCTTTGGAAGCCTGTTGGAGTGGCAGCTATGGGTAGGTTCCAACTCAATGGCACACAACAACACAATAATTAATGTTGTAAGACAAAATACATATAATAATTGGATAACCAAATAGTAAATTACAATAAAAATAAAAATAGTTCAAACCTAAATAAATGTAACCCCTTTTCATTTCTCATTTCATTTTTCAGACTGGATCAAGTACCAAGTGTTATCCCGGGCCACTACACTTGCTACAGCCGGCCTCTACCACCAGTAACCTCATATTTTAACAGTCAGAGCTCGTTTCCAACAGTCTGTAGCTCAAACTCATTAGTACCTAGTGGGAATCAATCCATAGCGACCCTATGCTGGGTTTTCAGAAGCCGTAAATTGCGCAGAAGGAGACTGCCCATCTTTCTCCCTCAGAGGAGTTAATGGACTCAAACTTCCTGCCTCTCGGTTGGTAATGCAACTCCTTACCCTCTAAGCCACCATTTTAACAGAGTTCACTATCTCACAATCAGGAATCTCTAGCCAGAAAATAACAATGCCTTTTTCTGATCAAACTACCTTTGATTTCAGAGATCTAAATGAAGATCAATAGAACGGCATTTCTTTGGCACTCCACTGTCTCTGCTCAGGAGCCCTGAGCTCTGGTCCTCCTGGGCTCATGATCCAGCAGGACTCCAAGCTGGTTCATTCCCAGTCTGCCTCCCTGCTGCAAATTTGATTTCCTCCCCAGATATCAGAACCCACATTTTAACAAGCTCCCTAGGGACACAAATAAATCACCTGGAATCTATTATAAGAATTGGCTGGGATTCTTGTTATTAACTCCTAAAGTGGAGATTATTACAGTGCTCTGGCTGAGCTGGGATGCAAAATCCTCTACCCATCATGCTAATTGGAAAATAACCACCACCTTGCATGCGTCCAGAGAAAGTCTCAGTGCTTTGACGCCAGGAAAATCAAATAAGCAGCCAGCCAAAACTTAACTGAAATTCCTGTTCTGAAAAACAATGTATTCAAATTTTGTAGATAAACTATTATAATTTTTTTAAAGTAACTTAAATTTAATGCAAACAGGAACAAATGATCATCTAGAATTCTCCTAGAATTTGCTTTCTCTGGTGCAAAGGCCAATGAAGTCTCTTGGAGCGGTGTTCTGTGCACCCAAAACTCATTGGGCTCCCTACCCTACTCCTAGAAATAGGAAGAGAATAATGAGAACTCAATCGACAGTTTTAAACGAGCAAAAGTTTCCAAAACTCACTAAATCTGAACCGAGAGAAATGCATGGCAGTTTAAGAGGTGTTTCCCATGTGTTAGGTTTCGGTAGCTGCTAGAACTACAAGAGACAGTCCTGGGAAACCCCTAGAAACAGCACATTTTGTTTACATGTTTCTGTGATTTAAGATGAGACCTGAAATATTTGACGTCACGATTCCAAGTCTTTGAGAGACAAGGTAATAGGACATTTTCTAAAATTATACAAAAGGTAAATTACAAACATCTGAATGTGGCTCAGTTATTAAAATACAGGAAGCAGCTCCCCTGCCTCCCAGCGTCCGTTTCTAGAGTGGGCCTTGACCTGGAGCTCACAGAATGAAGGGCTTTCTCCCAGTCGCCTGGCTGCTCCTCGGTTCCATGATGTGGCCTAGCTCTGGAGGACAGAAAGGTATCCCAAAGGCTTGTCAAGTGCGTCCATATTTCACTCTGGTCTTCCTCCCCTATTCATGTGTTGTTGTTGTTGTTGTTGTTATTGCCTTTTGTTGAGTTATAGACGACTCATAGCAACCCTGTGAACGAAAGACCTGAATACTTGTATAACTTTCATAGTTTCTCCAAGTTCATACAGTTTCCGGAGGCAAGCCATTTCGGAAGTGGATGCCATTCCTGCTTCCAAGGCTGTTTTAATTGGGGAGCTCCACCAAACACTGTCAACCATGGGTAACCATCATCGCATTTGCCACATCAGTGTCACAGTGTTTAGCTTCACAGCAACCACAAGTTACATCTGCACAGCAAATGGACAGACCAGTGCTATACCACCAAGAAGAATGTTTAATAAAAAACAAAACCAGGCCCAGTTTTAAAACTCACCTGCCTTTGGCTTGGTAGCTTAACTTTCTATCCACTATGCCAACAGAGCTCTTTTGTTGTTGTTAACTGCTGTTAAGTTTTAGATGACTCATAGAGATCCTATGAATGAAAGACACGAACACTTGTATAACTTTCATCATTTCTCCA